AAACAAGGCTGGGTTTATCTGCGAACATTGTCAGGCAAACCAACACGTACTGTTTGGCTGAGGCGTTGGGCGTTTTTGAAGAACGGTATCTTTGGTTGCCTCGTGCAGGGTTCTCGAACTGGCGGGGTTGAAGAAAGCGAGCGTATAGGCGTGCTATTGTGCAGTATACGGCCTGCTTTCCAGGAAGAACGAAGATTCTGCTTCGAGGTGAAGACCAAGAGCAACACCATAGTATTGCAGGCCGAGACTCAGAAAGAGCTCACGGAATGGATTGCTGCTTTTGAAGCAGCTAAACGAAAAGCACTGGAAAACCCGACAAGCACCGACATCTCGGTTTCCGGAAAGGTTACTGTACAAGATCCAGCCTTTGCAATCTCTCAGCCTCCAGCACCTGAATTTGCCGCTGATCCGGCCGACTCGCTCACGCCGCACGCAAATGATGAGCATGGACCATCGGATCGTAGCGGAGGGTTATCAGTTCCAGAGCGGGAGCCATCAGCCTTCCGAAACAGCAGCGATCTCGGCAGCCCCAGGCGCATGACTGGGTTGGACCCCGAGAGTTCTGCGCGAGAGCATACTTCCAGACTCATTCAGAAATTAGATCTTCACCGCAAGTCCAACAATAATGCTGTCCCACCATCTATATCTCTGCCCGGTGCAGGTGGTGGTATCGCAGGCCTGATCTCCTCCAGCCATAGCACTTTAGGGCACAGCAACGGTCTCTCCGTGGGCGGGACTGATGAAGGGAACAGAAGTCGCAGTCTGACGAGCCGGAGCCTTCCTCCTACGACACTCGCACCTTCTACCTTGGCGAATCCACCCGCCCCTACCAGTATGAGCAAGGCGGCTGTAATCGTCAGCAATGAACGAGGTATTGGGTTGGGGCAAGCCGACAAGACAGGTGGGATGCCTAGCGGTATGATGGCCAACCTGTGGGGTAGTTCCAACTGGGGCTTCATGAACCGACTCGAACGCGAACGTGATGCTCAGCTTGCTGGGGCCGGCGAGGGAGCTTCTGTGGGACAACAAGCATCAACTCCGGTGATTGATTCGTCAAAGCAACCGCAATCATCTGACGCAGATTTGACCAACGGCATTTCAGCATCCAAGCAGCAGATGTCCGGCCCTCGCCATAGGCAGACTGTTAGTCTTGACGGCGATGCGTCAAAGGTGCAGAGGGCAATTTTGGGCATTTCGCATGAGTATCCCAGTTACTACCCCGAGCAACTTCGACCTCAGGATGCTCAATTTCGCCTGCTCTTTCCCGACGTCAAAAGAGAGGAGCCTTTGGTCATGGTCTTCCGAGCCACATGGAATCCCAACGATCAGCAAGAATTTCCCGGAAGAGCATACGCTACGACTCGCAGCATATATTTTTACAGTCATTATTTTGGATTAGTTTTAACCACAGGTGTCCCGTTGGAAAGCATCAAGGAAGTGACTGCTGCACCTGGCAGAGACTGCGACTTCTTATTTCTCCATACTATCCCGCCTCTTGGTGAGGATATTCCTGGACGAATCACAGTGAAAACATTCCTGGAGCCTCTAAAACTTCTTCAAAGACGCCTGAATTTCTTGATTCAAGATTCAACCGCGGTGGAACCCATGGGGTTGGAAGCAATTTTCAAGGCTCTGATCAGAATGGAGACCGACACGAGGAACCGTAGCCCTAGCCTGAACAGCTGGGAAGATGCGGCCGTTTCGGATGACAAGAATGGTACCGAAGAGGACAACATTGCTGCCGGACAGCAAAAAGATATCCGCCGACCGATTTACATCGACTATGACTTGGATCCGCATTCAAAGTATGGCAAACACGGCAAAAATGTGCCAAAGTTCCGGTTGCCAACACAACCTGTTCAATATGTTCCCCAAGGCAACCTCCACCTCGCTGCAGAGAAGATATTCGATATTAGTCCGAAGGCGATATTCCATATCCTTTTCGGTGACAAGAGTGCTGTTTGGCAACTCCTTTTGCACGAAAGAAGATCGCGAGGTTCGTCCCCCCGAATGATCGGGGTAACCTTTGGCTGACCGATATGAAAGATATCAAACAGGGGCCCTGGATCAGAAACGAATCTCGGCATTTGCGGCGCGACTTTGAATATCATATCGAGACAACCGACTTGCTTGGTACGTATCTCTACTCATCACCGCTTAGCAAGTGACTGACGGTCGCCTTCATGTAGGACGGACTCAGGACAAGACGATTTCTGATTACCAAATCATTGATGTTCTCAATGATCACTTGTGCTACGTGGTGACCGACAAGCGGACTCCGTGGCACCTTCCCTTTAAGCGCTCGTTCAGGTTGGTGAGCAAGATTGTGATTACATTCGTCGCGAAGGGGAAAAGCAAGCTTGCAGTATACACGAAAGTGGAGTGGCTTGGGTCTCCTCACGGCCTCCAGAGTAAGTGGTCCATTAGCACTCGCGAGACTATTGTCCTGCAGGATCACTAAGTTATTTACAGGAATCATTGAGAAGCAAGCAACAAGTGACTTAGAGCAAGACGCTCTGGACCTCGTTGATCTTGTCAGCGATCAAGTGCGAAAATTGGGCTTCCATAGCCGAACAAAAAAGGCCATCACCATATTCGGTCACATCGGACGCCAACAACATACATCTCAACTCTCGTCCAGCGAATCAGTTCTGAAACTTGAACCTCGAAAGCCTCGGCGTCAGAGGACCTTAACTCAACTCTTACTCGAGACGCTTCTCTCCTTCCTGGAGAGCGCTGTTTCGTCCATAATCATGTGGACTTTTGCCTTGCTTCGCTGGACCTGGAAAACTACGAATGCAAACATGGTCATTCTGGCCCTGCTGATCTCCAGCGCTTTGATGAACGGACTCTTCACTTCACGGTACACTTATGACTGGTGGCATGAGAGGAACGTGGGAAACTTCATGGCTCGTCTTGGGGTCGGTCCCAACCATGTGATGAGCAAAGCCATCTATATGAGGGATATCGACGAGGTGATTGCTAATGCCACTGTCGGCCAATCTAGCAACAACATGAGTAAATGTTTCTCTACATTCTACCAGCAGACAGTGAGCGACCAGGGAACAGTCCTTTCCTTTGGCGCCTCAGGTCCTCGAGACTCAGTGACACGGAGTGCAGCCAGGCGGATCCATCAAACCCGCGAGCGACTCGCTATGTATAGACACAACTTGTTAGTGGCGCTCCGGGTAGTGAACAGCATTGAAAGAGAGGTCATTCAAGGCGAGTGGGAGCGATGGCTCCGGCAGGAATTGAGACGCTGTCACCAAGTCGAAAAACTTCTCGGAAAGGATAAGGAGGATGACGGGTTCAACACGCAGGTTGACCAAGCAAGTCAAACTGTATTTGCAGACCTCGCGGGTGACGTTCAGCAGTGGTACGATAAATACTGTACCAGTTGCCAGGTGGAACAGGAGCAGCTTGAGAGGAGCGGTGTTGTATATGGTATTTAGAAGGTACATAGGGGTTGCTTGTTCGTTTTGTTTACTCCGGACGGATCGATACGTTTTGAACGATACCCCATTACAATTGACCGGATGTTGGCGGTTATCTTTGTCTTACTGACTTGATCGGAGTGGGCGATTTCTGGTATATGTTCGCAGTCCAGCTCTCTGCTGGTATATAGCTCTGATGTTTCGAGCTTCAAGCGAATTCGAATGGTTTGTGAAATGCCAGGATGCGGTGTGCTGCTGGCTTGTAGGACAGAGATTTCAAGCGTAGCCATGGATATGGTCGGTACCAGCCAGATCCCATATCCCTGTACATCTCGATGGAGTTGTACGATCGTCCCAACCTCATTTAATTCTGTCTTGGCTTCACAGCACCCTCCTGGACGACATAGTACACCACGGTACCATCCCCACCCATGCTTCGATCAACCATGGCCAAGAGAAGTCTCTTCCCACCCCACTCCTTTGTGACCCGAGCCGTTCGTCTGTACTCATAGTACTCTGTCAGCTTCGCTGCCTTCTCAGCATTATTACCAGATGCTTTGGCATCATCTAATGATTGAGCATTCGACTCTTCCTCGTCCTCGGGAAGCGCATCGAACACGGCAGCCATTTTGCGCAGACTCCATGATTGTCCGTGAGCCGTGGGTATGACGAACATACGTTCCAGCTCGATGTCGTCCTCGCGAAGACCCCTCTCGAGCATGAACAGCTGCTCGTCTGGGTGCGTATAGATTCTGTGGGGCGGGATGCCGGAGATCAGGTAGGAGGGTGAGCTGGAAAGCTGGTCTGTAGATGTTGGGGTCGACGACGATGAGACAGAGGAATTGGATATTTGCAAGTCATGGATTTGGAGAGAGGTCCAAAGATGCTGATGTTGAAGGTTGTGGAGGACTTGGATCGCAGTTGCAGATAGAGGGTTCGGGGAGGCAGAGGTGGAGGTTAAGAGGGTGGTGAGGGCCGAGGGCTCTGGAGCCTGGGGTGTTGATGTGAGTACGGTTCGCATAGTGAGTTGCTAAGAGCTTGTTTTGTGTGGATGTTGTAGCAGAGACTGGTGGATTTAATTCTAGATAACGACTCTTATCAGTCTGTGGTTTCGAAGGTTTAGATAGCCGCTGCATTCCATATGGAGATGAGCAATTGATGGTCATTGCTTACTCTCAACGGACGGAATCTATCCTCTCAGATACAAATAATCATATCTCAATGATACTCGATGTAGAAAGTGATCAGTATTGCTTGACCTGCGGGGCTGGACAATAGCGATGGAGTCTTGCAGGCGGAGAGGGAAAAATTTAGGGCGATCGCGCCGAAATTCCGCGCAGCGCGTTTTTGGCAAAAGAAGAACAGAACACATGGCATCAACGGCCTGTGTTTCGAAATGACAGTGTGATCCTCACTGCGATATTCTTTTTCATTTTTGGTCCATCAGCTCCCTTTGTGTCTTCGAGTCTTATTCCAAGCGAAAGTGTTATTGATCTTGACTTATCTTTCACATGATTCATTGTCTTTCATTCATCGTCATTCCGTACACATACCCAAATTGCGCTCATGGCACGCCAAAAACAGGCAGTGCCTTTACAACGGGCCACTTCTTCTGAATTGATGCACCTTGTGCCTGAAGAATCCAAGTCAATGTCTACACAACAGAATGGCAGCGCTCAGAAGCCTGTTACCCTAAATGGATCTGCCTCGACAAAGGGACAAGCGCCTGAAGCTCCCCTGGAGACTCCGGGATTGATGCAACTTGCGATTTGTGTCCTGGGTATTTATGCGTCATTGTAAGTGATTTATCTCCAGCGCATGATCATCCTCTCCATATACAGTCTCTAATACGTTTGAAGTCTGTCATGGGGTGTTCTTCAAGAAGCGATTACTACGGTCAACTTCCCAGTCCGTCCTCCAACTGCCGAAGAACCAAACCCGCCGACGGAGCGCTTCACCTTCTCGATCGTTCTCAACACCATACAATCCACTTTTGCTGCGATCACTGGTTTCCTCTACCTCTATTTCTCTACTCCGGCCGGCAAGAAGGTTCCGTCCATTTTTCCGACTCGCAAGATTCTCTTCCCTTTGCTCCTGGTCAGCATCTCCTCGTCGCTGGCGTCGCCGTTTGGATATGCCAGTCTTGCGCACATCGATTATTTGACCTTTATTCTGGCCAAGTCATGCAAGCTTCTGCCTGTGATGTTCCTCCACTTGACCATCTTCCGCAAGACATATCCATTGTATAAGTACGGCGTTGTCTTGCTGGTCACCCTTGGAGTCGCAACTTTCACCCTCCACCACCCTGGAACCAGTAAGAAGGTTGCGGCGTCGGCAGCGAAGAACCAGTCCGGCTCATCTCTGTATGGAATCTTCCTGCTTTCCATCAACCTCCTTCTGGACGGCCTCACGAACACAACCCAAGACCATGTCTTTAGCTCACCGCAAATCTACACGCGCTTCACCGGACCGCAGATGATGGTAGCGCAGAACGTCCTTTCGACAATCCTGACCACCACCTACTTGCTTGTCATGCCCCATCTGTCCTCTACCGGCGCCTTGCATGCTCTTCTTCCCATCCCAATTCCACCTTCTACCGAAACCGAGCTTGCATCCGCCGTTTCCTTCCTCTCACGACACCCAGAGGTGATGAAGAATGTGCTCGGGTTTGCCGCCTGCGGAGCCATCGGCCAGCTTTTTATATTCTATACGCTTTCTCGCTTCTCGTCTTTGCTTCTGGTGACTGTGACCGTCACGCGCAAGATGCTCACCATGCTGTTGAGCGTGTTCTGGTTTGGACACTCGTTGTCCGCAGGCCAGTGGCTCGGAATTGGCCTTGTATTCGGCGGCATCGGGGCTGAAGCCGTGGTACAGAAGCGGGAGAAGCAAGCCAAAGAACGGGCGAAGGCATTAGCTGGAAAGAAGGATTAGACTGTTTGATCTGTTCGACCTTTATTGTACATATATACACACATAGTAGATCTTCATTCCATCATAGATACGTTTTTATTACTGCTATGCAGGAGATTCTCCATTCCATCCCTGATGACACATCTCGAGGTACTGATAGAGAAACGCTCAACTGCTAAAGGTAAATTGGTCATAGGAGACGAGGCTACTTCCTCCCTTCAACCATGATGATATGGTACCCAAACCCGGTCTTCACCTCCACGTATTTGGGGTTCGCAGTCGTACTGGGCTCAAGCTCATACGCGGCCTTCTCAAAGTCCGCGTTGAGACTGCCTCGGACTTTCCACCCAAGAGAGCCGCCTACAGTCATCAGCACCAAGTAGACCCAATAGTCCGAACCAGAAAGAAGAAAAAGAGAGAAACAGAAACGCACCTTGCCGAGCCTTATCCTCCGAGTACTCCCTTGCGACGTCGTCGAATTTGGCCCCGTTGCGCAATTTCTCAACCGCTTCTTCCTTTTTCGAGAATTTCTCGCACTATGTTTCGAGCATTAGTCTAGAAGTAGATACATGGAAGACAGCTGTAGCGAAGTGCAATTGTGCGAAGCAATACTCCAGAGAAAAAGATTTACGTACAAGAATATGTCTGACATTAATCGACGTAGCGGGCTTCAACCCCTTTCCTCCTCCCTTCCCCTTGTCCCCCTCCGACGCATCTTTCCCCTTGCCTTTCTTGTCGCCTCCTTTGGCGTTGTTCTTAGGGGCCATCCTTGATGTCAACGCTTCAGACCTCCGTTGATGGGACGTCGGTGCAGCGGTGAACTCAGCCCAAGTCTGGGGACCGATATAGCAGGAATAGAGGCTCTTTGGAGTTTGGACTTAGCTAGAAGCTGTAGCTGGAAGTATCTTTAGGGTTTGCGCCGAGAGTGGTGCTTCTCAAGAGTCAAGACTGATGCATTACCAGAGTTGGAGAGTGGGGTTTGGTGGGGTATGGCTAGCAGCCTGAGGCAGACAGGCAGACAGCTCTACTGTTTATGTACCAGATGCGAACCGTTGAATGACGACATTGGAGTCTCTGTATTGTCGCTTACACTAAGAGGTGTTTGATTTGAAAACTGAGGTACGCCGATAAGGTCTACTCTTTCTATCTTCGGAGCTGGCTTGCATGACTCTACAGTATCATTGATCAGAGCTTCTGTTGTTGCTATGACTTGTCACTGAAGGGCGATCGTGTGTTCCAATGAGACTGATGCTGGTGTTATCTTCAGGCATTAATAGGCCGAGAGGCTGCAATGGAATCCAATCTGGAAGCAGCGCGGATCAAGTCCTTGCCTGATGACGCATTCTACATTGCAGACTTTATCACCGAGGAAGAGGAGGAGTTGCTGCTGCAAAAGGTATGTTTCGCGATCACAAGCGTGTAGCTCCGTAGTGTGACTGGCCTATGTGGCGCTGGCAGAGAGCTAGTGATGATCCATCAATCGCTCCATGTTACCACCAACTGCACTCCATATCTTGTAAGAGACAGTGCTAACGTTCGAAGATAACAACTGCCCCTCTCCCGCGGTGGACTCAGCTCTCTCACCGACGTCTTCAAACTTGGCCCTCTGCTCTGACGACGTCGAATACTCTAATTGCATCGCCATTGCCCTCATGGCTCGTCTCACCTATCATCAACCCTCGTTTGGACTCACTCGACATTTTCGCAAACGCCCCTCACGGCGCTCCAAACCATGTCCTGGTGAACGAATACCGTCCCGGCCAAGGAATCATGCCGCATGAAGATGGAGCCGCGTACTATCCCCTGGTTGCGACCGTGAGTCTGGGAGCACCGATTGTACTAGATCTGTATCCGAAGCTCGGTTCAAGCAACGATGGAAACAACAGCGGGGTGGGTGGCGCTCGGCAGCCCCAGCAGCCCCAGTATCGAATCTTGCAGGAGAGGCGCAGCCTTTTGGTTACGAGGCGAAGTATCTATACAGATTTCTTGCACGGCATTGCAGAGACCCGCAAGGACGATAACCTAAGTGCTGACATCATCTGCAATTGGGATCTGCTGCGTGAACCGGATCGTTATCAGTGTGGTTGGTATGAGAGGGAAACTCGGATCAGTCTGACGTATCGGGACGTGCTCAAGGTGTCAAAGTTGGGAAATACGATGAAATTCCTAGGCGGACGATGACCTTGCAGACGGCGACTCAAGTGCCCTCTGATCCGGGTATCAACTCGATTGAATAAAGCTATATTTGCTTAGAAGAGTCCAGGAATCATGTTCCATCTTTCCTTGACAGCGTCCGGTCCGAACTTCTGCTTGTACCATCGCTTGCTGATTGCGGCGGTTACACCCAAATTCACCGTTACAAACGTGAAACATGACAAAACTGTCTTGTTCACCATCTCGCCATTCGGTGCAGCCAGCAGAGCCAACGACAGGTATATCACGCACTCGGCCGTGTAATGGGGACATACGATTCTTTGAAACATAGGATGAGTCGGGAGGGTATACTTCTTAAGCGAGAAGAGGTAGTGGTGACAATCGTGCTGAACACCCGAGGCGATCAAAAATAATGGAAGGCAGAGGAATGTGCGAAGAGTAGGAGCGGTGGCTACTTGAACATCATCGAGAGTCAACTTGTGGGTCATGAGAGTTTCTAGGAGGGTGAAGATTGTTAGAGCGTAATCTCTTGGATCTAGTTCTTAGACGCATACCTGTCCCCTCAATCCAGATGGCGACCGTTGCAGCGAGGTAAAAGGCGAGCCCTAGAAGCCAATGGACAAACCACATCCTGGACGAGGATGGCTTGAAAAAGATGCGACTCTCATGCAGTCGCCGAATTCCTTGTACTAACATCAATGCCCAGCATAGTAAGACTTGATGTATGGACATCGACTTCTCCAAGTGTTGTGGGCCTATCCTTGTCGCAATGGCTTGAAACGCCGAACCTCTGGATAGCAATTGGAACGCCCAAAAGAGCGAAGAAAGCACAGAGGCAACATAAAAGTGCGTGAAGTAGCTGTGAGGAACTCTCAGAGAGGCGAGGTAATCGAGTGCGAGGTGTACGCGAGAGTTGTCCGAGCCATCGGCAGGCGCAAGGGGTCTCGACCCGACCGTTGTTGATGTTGCACGAGCACCATAAGTCACGAAACGGCCGCGAAGTGTATCTGGCAGGCTGATCGACAGTATCTGGTAGTCATTGCTTTGGTTTAGTCCATCATCGAAAAGTCTCGCCTAGACTGATGCATCACTGCCAAAGTAACCATCGTCATCTCACACCCGAGATATCCGTACCGTGCAGGCTGCAAAGATAAAGAAAGCTCGAAGAGCATCAACAACGTCCATGTGCGTGACGGAAAGCGTCGTGTCCACAAGCTTCCTGATAAGCTCCATCTTGGTATGATTGACCAGGTGTAGCCGGTGCCGACGTTGAAGCTGCAGAGAGCCTGGAAAGGCGCAAGAAGGGGTAAGGCGGAAATCCAAGAACAGCTTCTTTCAATTAGTTCGGAGAGTGTTGTAAAAGCCCTGAGATAGTGGTTGCCATGATTTCATGTTACTGTCACCAATTGCCATGAGAATTGAAACCCCACCCGGAACGCAGCTACTTACGGAGTACACTCTAGGGTAGTTATGAGATGGAGGGTTTGGATTGCCTCGGAGCTCCGCCTGCTATGAGAGCTAGTTCATACATTGGCAGAGACATGATGAAGGGTTGAGTTTCTACTATGGTGGCCTACTTGAGAGACTTGACAGATCCCTTACCTCAATCTTATCGTAAGAGCAGAACATGCCAGCATGTGTACCTATCGAAACGAGAGATGACACCTTCATCTTTCAGAGTTTGAGAATCAAGACACCTTTCGTCAGACTTTGCCCCCCTCTCCGCTTCTCGCCATTTGCAGCAAGTTGCAACTTCGTAAACCAGCAACGGCTAACGGAAGGGGCAAAGTGGGGCGATAAGCTGAGCTATCATGTCTGATCATTGGCTGCACAGGAGCAGATCACTGGTGTTTAAGTGGGCCTAATCAGACTCGTCGACTTAATCCTGCTACTACTAGGCCGCAAATAGTAAAGGCTCAGTTGCCATTTCGTCAGTCATTGGCTTGATGCAGGGCCTAATTTACGTACTCCGCAGCTGGAAAGGTGACTCCCTGACTAGTATCTTACTCACGATAGGTTTGGATCCATGTTTATGAGACACTCTATGCTGAGTTTCTAGATAGCAGCTCCTTCCAGAAGAGAAGAAGATATGGACATACTCGGAGTCTGACGTATGAGGAAAGTTTCAATGCGAGTACCCCGCTGTTCAGGCAGATAACGGCGATTCCGTGGAAGATATTATTGTTTCCAAGCAAGTTGATCTCCTGCCTTGGCAACGTACGCTGCGGAGTACTGCTGTTTCAAGAATATCTGGCTAGTAGTACCTATTTTCGGGAGGTACAGAGAAAGCTGTTACAGATCGACGAGTCTCATGCATACAACATTTAATAATAAAAATAGATAGCACCCTGGATTGTGATCAACTTGACTCTTTATTCAATGGTAGCAGCTTCTGTGAAGTAATTATCAGAGAAGAGTGAATTTGATAAGGGTGATTCCATTGCAAAATGCTGTAATTTGGGTATTTTTACCAACATCATACGATATGTACTGAGGCAAAAATATCCCGTGACCACTAACCCAACCCAAACCAGCTGGTGGCCAAATAGCTTCCTGAGGAGCGAGGACCCATCTTAACCCCCAAGATGCTACCTACTATTACCTCCGTACTGTACAGTCCTTTACCAAGCAGTCTACTACTCTACCTAAATCATCTACCACTAGATACATAGGTACCAGTTAGTTTATCTACTAGGTACTGCCACCATACGTACGGAGAGCGGAGTAGACAACTAGTCACCTTTATCAATAATTTGACTAGTCCGGAGTCCCGCGATTTTGAGAGGACTTCTCTACTACTCTACCTACTCCCGCTAAAACTCACTAACCCAGAGAATCGCTGCCTCGACTTCTTTTGTTCCCTTTCTCTCCCTCTGCTTCCCTCTCTTCCTTTAATCTCCACTAATTCCTCCTCTCTACCCATCCAATCCTCACCTTCGTCTTCGTCTCACTGATCCGTCTCCCACTCTCATCTGTCTCTTCACCTCTTCTTTTCTTTATCTACATTTTAACTATTTTCTCTCCACTTCTTATCCCAGAAAGTTTGACATAACTCTGAAAGCGCCATATTTCTCCTCCCCTTTAACTACCGCGTCACTACTGGTTCAACAGCAACTCTCTTCTCCAGGATCTGAAGAAATTCTTCACCCATACGTAACTTCGAGTCCAGTGCGGTGATCGAACGGCCGCGTGAGAAATTACAAAAGATAGGGATCTTCGCTTTGCTAGGCGTGGTCGAGCACCAGCTTCCACGCGCGACTGCTGGTGGTTTCGACTGCGAGTACTCTCTGTCCGCCACGGCCTCCGAAAATGACGATCGAAACACCCAGCAATCGATTACTACCGCTATGAGTGATGTTGATGCAGTGTCCTCCCTGCCAGCTGCCCTGCATGCCGGACAAAATGCTACCGCTGTCACGGTGAACCCCCGGTCTGCTTCTGGTTCGCTGTCTTCCAAGAGGGTCTCTCCGTCGCCCCATCGCAGAGGAGAGGATACTCGCGTCAAGGAGGTTGATTCTGCGTCAGGAGAAGGGGATGGCCCGCCGAGCCCCAAGGCTGACTCGGAAGCAGAAACTATCATCCAGTCGGGCCGCGAGTCGCTGTCGCCAGAAAAGAGACGGAAGTATATTCAACATGAACCAAGGCAACGCGATGTTCAAGTAGACAACGGTGACACGGTGGAGGACAGTTCACTACCTGATGACACACACATTAGGAAGAGAAAGCGATCCATCGATGACTCCATCGCGGAACGCGACCGTGGGTTCTCCCCGGAACTTCATTCTCGAACAGCTGTTTCTCCATCACGTGTGAAAATTGAGAAGCCAGAGGAACTACAGCTCGCCCTAAATAATCTTGATTCCGCTCTGCCTTCACATAGCACGGAGGCTGTCCCTGGTGGTCAGAACGTCCAGGTCTCACGAAAGCGTAGCCATAGCGACAGTGTCGACACTGAGAGGGACAGGGCTCAATCTAGTCGTCACACAACGGCCTCACGCGACAAAGAGCGAATGGATATCAACGGCATCAGTCTACCTCCACCAGAGTCGATCGATCGCTCAGTCTCGCCTATTCGGTCGGCTCACAAGCGAACAGCTTCCGGTCCGCAGCTTGGGGGCAGTGACTTGCAAAAGAAGAGGAAGACTACTACTCCGCTCATCACTGGATTTCAACGGCAAAGCTCCGAGGACAGGCTGTCGGTTTCGTCTTCAACAAGTGGCTCTCCTCTACCCAGCTCTCAACTGCGAAAATTAGCCGGTGTCGACGGCGCTTCAGCATCTCCCGCTAGGCCGACGGGTCACAAGAAACAGCGCGACCAAAATGGCCGAACCCGTCTAGCACGTGCCTGTGCAGCTCAGGAACTGGAGGTAGCAATGGCGAGGCATGCAGAACGCCCAGAAGATTTGAATGTGGCCGACAATGCGGGAAATACGCCCCTCCAAATTGCTGCCCTCGAAGGGTGTGCGCCGATTGTGAAATTCCTTCTTGAAGCTGGCTGTGACATCGACACAAAAAACATTGACAAAGATACTCCTTTGATCGATGCCGTCGAAAATGGCCACTTGGAAGTCGTCAAACTCTTACTGGAGGCGGGCGCGAATCCTCGCACGGTCAACGCGGAAGGTGATGAGCCATATGATTTGGTCCCTTCGGACTCGGAAGACTATACAGAAATACGCCGTGTACTTGCAGAGGCTAAAGCCAATCCCCGGCCGGGTCGCCGTTCCGAAGAGCGTGCTGGTTCCGCAAATAAGGAGATAAGCTCTAAAAGAGTTGCTGCTGCAAGCCCGCGCGAGTCCCCCCCGGTGAATGGACCCCGTAGCCCCCCTCTATTCGGGGCCGCTACGAGGCGAAAGACTGTGCGAAGTGAAGCTACGCGAAACGACCTACTCTGGACCAAAGCTACACCCGAGAATCTGCAAGCATTTGCTGCGAAAGGTGATATTGCCGGAGTTGCCAACATTCTCAACGTTGGGCAAAAAGCCGACACCGAGTCGATGATAGCTGCAGCCAAGGGCGGTCATGACGAGGTACTGTCTCTGTTGCTAGGGATGGGCGACGCGGATCCGGATCCTGAGCCACTTCAAGGAGGAAACCAGAAACCCGGCTACAATACACCCATGCTTGCGGCGATCGGCCGAGGTAATCTTGCTGTCATACGGTTGCTGCTGGATCAGCCGAGATTTAATCCGACACGCCGGCTTTACCGTGATCGTACCTACTTTGAGTTATCTCGAGAACGGAGAGCTGACAACTGGGAGGAGGAATATGACTTGCTGAGAGAAGCCTATGATAATTACATTAGAGCCAAGCGTCTGCGCAAGCAGGAGGCTTCTTCACCGAAACGACCGCGCGACAGAGAGAAGGAAAACAAGCGGCCGGGTCGCAGACACTCCCCATCGCCCGCGGTTTCTTCCAGGAAGGCCGTAGCAAGTCCAGGCGCCGGACACCACCGAGAGCTCTCTTCCAAAGATGCTGTTACATCGAAGGAAAAGAAACGAGATGGTGTAGCTCACTTAAAGGAGAGATCCGGATCCAGTACCAATCGCCCCAGAATAGCCCACAAGGGTAGTGACAATCCGGCGGACGCCGATGGGTTTCGGGTGGAGTCTGCTCAGTCCAAATCATTAGCAACACTTACCAAAGATGAGGAAGCTCCCAGGAGAAGGCGTTTGATTGCAGGGCGCCCTCCACAGGATCGCGATCGCAGAAGACCCAGCATACCATCTTCGGATTCCCTGTCAGGCCGTGAGGACTCTGCCAAATTCCGGATTGATCCTTCTACCGAAGCTACGACGGTCCCGGATGGGCCTGTGGCCTTGAAACGCGGACGCAGTAGCGCAAGTCCCGAACGCCCCCGTTCTCGGGGTGCAGATTCCGACCACCACTCACGCGATGGCCAGAAAAAGAAACGACGTGTTCTATCTGAAGACAGGACGCCAAGCATAATTAATGGTAAATTGAAGAAAAGTCACAGCAGCGGCATAGCAGAGGAGTCCAAAACGCATGTTCGGCCGAAGAAAACCGAAGATCAATTGTTGGAGCGCGAGCGTGATCAGCAGATTGAGAGTACACCACACATGGCGACCGACTCAAGAGCTGTGAAGAAAGAGCGAGAAAGGCAGGATGTAGGCCACCTGGCTGATATCCCCATGGAAGATGCGAAGACTGCGGCCAAGAGGTCCGAGTCTGAAGAACGGCGCCGGGAAGAGGCGAAACGGGCCGAAAAGGAG